CCAGCCAAGTCACAGGTCTCTCTTAGGAGGAAAAGAAAAGAAGTAAGGTTTAACAATTTAAGGTAGGGAGGGTCTCAGAGAGACTAGAAATGTTAGAAAACATTGACATGAAAAGAAAGTAAGAAATGGTGGTGGGGGTAGGCCTCAAATATCATCACTAACCAGTCTAGAAGTGGTCAAGGGGATGTTTGTTACCCTATAAAAACCTATGCAATCTCCAGTAGCCACACACTCATCTGGTGTTTGGGCATGCTTAAGTGTGTTGGTGTTCAGGTCATTATACGATCATTATTTCATGGAATGAATGCATTCTGGCAAAGAGAATTTCTCCCAAGCCAATCCTGCATGTTTATGGACTTCCATTATATTCTTATTTATTTTTTAACATTTTTAACTAATCTTTTACGCCCTATGTGGGGCCCAAACTGATGACCCTAATATGGAGTCACACGGTCCACCAACTGAGCCAGCAGGGCTCCCCTTGACTTCCATTCGAAATGAAGCAATTTACTTGGGGATTCTGGGGAATCTTGATAACCAAGTGTTTTAGAGGCCAGTCCGTGACATGTTCAGTGCTAGTTCTGTGGATCTGGAAAGCTGCTGAACTCACCTAGCATTCATTTCTTCCCTTGCAGTCTTCCCTCGACCACAAAAACGTCTCTCATGCCTAAGGATCCTGGGTTGGCACCCAGATATCTTCGTGGTTTACTGCCTTTCTCCAGCCTTGGTGGGGGTACTAACAAAGCCAGCTAGAAAGAGACTTGGAAGCTAGCATTCTATACTTCAACTGGAACATTCCATTAGCTCATGGCTTTGGGTTCCAGAAAGGAGCTCGTTTCCCAACTTCAGTAATTTGAAATACTAGATATCCCATTTCCTTACAATGGGACTGTCTTGTCAACAAGCCCCAAAGGACCCTTCTGCACAGCTCAAGGTAACCCCGTTGAGGGGGTGGAGTGGAGCAACCCTGCAGCTGGTCTCTTGCCATGTCATTGCTGGCCCCAGGGAAGTTCATCTTTGTCTCTGAGCCTCCGTTCTTTTTTTTTTTTTTTTTAAATGCTTATTTAGAGAGAGCCAGAAAGAGTGTGAGTGGGGGAGGGGTAGAGAGAGGGAGACACAGAATCCGAAGCAGGCTCCAGGCTCTGAGCTGTTAAGATAGAGCCCGACGTGGGGCTCTAACTCTTGAACTGCCACATCATGACCTGAGCCGAAGTCAGACTCTTAACAGACTGAGCCACCCAGGTGTCCCTCTCAGCCTCCAGTTCTGAGAGCCATCTTACCACCTTTGCACTAAGAGTGAATTGCAATTAGTGTGCACATGGTTCAGATTTCTTTTTACAGTTTTCTTCTGTTACATGTGAAATAATTCAAAATTACTTCCAAGCCACCTGAATTCATGTTCTTTCATTCCGGTATGAGCGCTCAAGCACAAATGAGCACTTAGACTGAAATATCCCACCTGAGAGAACTGCACAGGTTGTCCAAAGCCATTATCTTGCTGCTGTAGGCAAGTCTGGACTCATGGAGCCTCACTTCACCTTAGTGTTTCAACCCTGGCCCACTGCCTTGCTTAGGTCGTAAGAGGTGGATGGCCTTCCTTTAGAAGTGTCTATCTTCCTCACAAGAGTCTTGGTTGGCAAGAATTTTTCAGTTAACTAAAAGCGGCAGCTTTACAGGCAAGATATGGAAGGTCTTTTCTTCTTCTTCTTTTTTTTTTAAGGAAAACGCTTGCAAAGCATGCCTGAAACAGGGCAGGAAAAGCAACTTGTTATTTGGAAACATCAAAAACTTTCTTTTGGGGCCGTTCGTAATGTTACTTCACTGCATCACTCCCTCCGTTCCAGCCAATAAAAGGGTTAATTCCAGGATCTCACTATTCTGAGTCCACGCAAGCCTGCGAAAGGAGACCAAGTAGATACCTCCTCCTACCCTACATTTTATTGTCCAGATGTGACCTTTGTCCCATACCTAGAGGTGGCAATGACCATTGGCATGGATGTAGAGTACCACAGTTTTTCTTCTAGTCTTCAGAGTGGCTTTGAATTGAGTTTCAACTAGGCGAGAATTAAAACAGGAAAGAAATGAAGGATCGGGGGTGTCTAAGCAACCAAGTCTTCCCTGGAAGAGAAGAGGAAGCCGTGAGAAGTGAATAATAGGTTTATTTGCATATACACAAGAGAAGAGCTAGCGTTGCTGGGAGTCACAAGAGGAGGGGCTTGTGAGGAGGTAAGGCTTCAGCAGAGGAAGGCACCTTGACAAACAAGGGATTCCTGGCTTAGTAAATCAAGCACAGTTGCAACCTTCTTTTGCCCCAAGCCAACTCATTTACTGCTGTCCTAGAGACACAGGAATTACTTACAAAACCAGGCAGAAAATAAAGTGGAAAGAAACGGTTTTACCTCTCTGGACCAGCCACTTAAAAAATTTATATACAGGATACAGGAAAAAAAAAAAAAAATACAACATAAGAGGCACTTTCAAATAGTTCTTAATCTAATCAGTGCCGTCTGTCCTGCTAGTAAAAATACCATCATGAAAGACTTTGGGGATCAAATGTGCCTCCAAAGTTGGGGCCTCAGTTCACAAGGATTCTGGAAGTGGTTCCTGCCAGGTTTCCAGGCCTACGATCACAAGACAGGAGATTTCTGGAAGTGAGAGTGGAGTGGCTATGGAGATAAGCATTTCTCAGCCTGTTCCAGTGAGTGTCTTGTGGGCTTATCTCCTAGCAAGTGGAATCTGGGGTGCTGGGAAGAGTCTCTCCCAAGGATAGGAGACATCCTTGCTAAAAACGATCTTTCTTGAACACTAAAACTGAACCAGAATGAACTTTGACTTCTCTTTGGAGAACTCAAATGAAATTAAGGCTTTTTACATGAAAAACCAAGTTCTGCATTTGGAAACAAAACCACCAAGTGGCTGTTTCCCAAGGGAACTTAACTTCTTTTCCTCTAGGAACAGTGGATTGTCCTAAGAGCAATCAGAAGAGGCTACCTACTTGATTAGGTAAAACAAAAAGATTAGGGAGGCTGACTAGGAAGGGGAAGAGAAACACACACTGAGTGATGATATCTTTTTTTTGTATATAAAGGATTAAAAAATTCCAATTTAATAAATTTTGGAAAAGCAAATGTAAAATGACTTGGGCTTATAAAACCAGAATTTACAATTATCTGTGAATAGTCAAAGACAAATCATAGAACCATTTTCATTACAAATCCAAAGTAATTCTAATAGTTACAGAATCACTTTCCCACTCCCCCCCCCCACTGCCCCCGTGAGATTACAGTTGTTAAATTGTAAGCATCTCCACTGCTACTCATAGTCCCTCATCTCCTTCTCCTAAGACAGTGTTTTCATACCCAAGTCACATCACACATACCAGGCACGTCTTTCCTTTCACAAAGCTTAGCCAGATGATATCTCCTTTTGGCTGAGATCAACAACCTTCCTTTTATAAATAATCTTTCTTCCCCCAGCGCCTAAATTCATCCAAGTCTTCATCCTCCACATGGTCCCAGTCCCAGTAGGACGGGCCCTCCTCTAAAAGGAACACTGTATCAGTCACACATTCGGTCCTCTCTACGCCAATGCTGGCCGCACCCCAAGTGGTCTAGCACATTTGCACCCAAGAAAAGTTACAGTGTGCCTCTTTCCCTCTCTTCCTCATTTCTTGCCACGATTCTGCTTTTTCATGACATCTGTGCTGACGAGATATCTGGTCATCCCTAGGTCTTCCTGCTTTGTGCAACTATGACCAAGTGACTGTAAGGATGGACCACTGTGATGCTGAAAATCTCTTGGTCTTTCCCCCTCTCGGTGAAATGCAGACTCTGCCAGGAGCCAGGAGCCTTAAACCAGAGACTCTTCTCTGCCTCCTAACACACCAACTCAACAGGAATCGGTTATTTAGAGATGCTTACTGCTCTGCAGGATCTAGTCAGAACACCACAGCCTCTGCTAGTTGCAAGCCCGGGGGAAGATGCCAGTTTCCTTCAATTCTGACCAAGCATTTTGGGTTGAATTAAAAGAACATGGCACCACACTCTGTTCTTCACTACACTTCTTCATTAACATACCTATGACATCTGCTTAAATCGTCTGAGCACCAAGCTCTTCAGAGCTGCCTTTTCCCCCTCCCTTCATCACAGAGGGCCAAGGAAGTGCCCGCTGGCCTCAAGAGCTCCTCTTAGGAAGTAGTACCTAACTGGTTAAAGCAGTCCCCCATAACTAGTTCTAGTTCATGGCCTCCATACAGAGTGTGGCCCAGCACTGCTCAATTTGCCATGGGTGAAGTTGACCAGGAATCTACGTTCTCTGGAATCTGATCTCAAGTGCTAACCTCCCATTAGCATTAAAAACACTTCACTTTTAGTGTGTCCACATTAAATGCTCAATGAAGAAGTGCTACTGAGAGAAAACATGGAAGGAAAGTTTCCTTCAGAAAGGAACCATGTGTTCCTTCCATCATGGAAGGCTTGTTTCCATTCTCCCCTTCATTTTTTCAGCATAAATCCACAACTCATTGGCAGGGCAGTCGGATTCAGCAGGCACTCACCATTAAGACCAGAACACTGACAGCATGTAAACAAGGTGAGATGGCAAAAGATACAGATCCATTGATCCTTCCCGATGGAGAACCAAAAGAAAAGCCTCGGAGACAATGAGCTCACACGTGCCGGTGAACACACACAAGAACAAGTCAAATGTCTCAACAAGGATTTACTTTAACAAAACGCACAGGTACGCGATGCTCAAGTCTTACTAGAAAGGAGTCACTTGGATTTCCCCCCCACCTCTCCTTACACAGCACAAGCCAGTGACCAGCTAAACATTCAGACCCATTATTGAATAGAAGGGAGCAGCATCAGACACAAAATCTCAGGCCCTGGTTTTATGTGCCTTTAATACTTTTTTTCCTTTTCTCTGCGTTCACTAAACAGGATTAAAAATTTTCTTTGTAAAGCTACTTTTCATAGCTTTTTGTTTTCCCTTTGTATTTATCATGTTTTTAATTTCTTCTCTGAGGAGGAATTCTCTGAATCTGTATCTTCCAATTCGATTCGGTGCCTTTTGAGGCCACTGTGGCCGTGAACAGCCCTACTGCTGTCTGTGTCTGGGGGGTCAGTGGGGTCCTCTCTCGTTCCAGCACTGGGGGTCTCACAGGCCATTTCAGACCCACAACAATCTTTGTGTAGGAGCGTCCCTGTCAGGGACAAGTTATCATGGTCAGTGTCCGAATGTCCTGGGGAAGAGCAGGCTACTGTCTCCAGCTCCCCGAAGTTCTGCCCATTGTTGTGGGGATGAGGGGGGCGGGGGTGTAAGCGTCCATTGTTGTGGTTGGCACAGATGGTTTCGGGGCTCCGCTCCTCACTGTCATCAGACTGGGTCCTGGGACAGCTGCCAGACCCACTGCTGAGAGTGGAGCCAGATGCCTTGGGGACAGGAGGAGAGGGCGGCTCCTCAGCCCGGCTGCTTAGGGCCTTGCTCAGGGCCTTTCCATTGAGCTTCTTGGTTTCGAAAGAATGTTCTACAGAGCTACCATTGTTAGTGTCCTGTGAGGTATCTTCTGGCGCCTCTGCCCAAGGGTGGCTGCTGTGCTCATGGCCTGGGCCATTGCTGGGATTTCTAGCAGAAGTCCCTTCTTTAAAAGCATCCTTGCTGCGACCTTCAGGGGGCAGGTCCTGGTTCCGCTGGGCTATGGTCATGCTTAGACAGGCTTCCTTACTGGAAGAAGGGGCTGGGTTATCCTTGTGGCTGGTTCCGGCTCTCCCTTCGTCGGCCTCCCCAGCCACGAGGGAGCTCTCTCCATCTTTGTTATTTGAGTAGGAGATATATGAGTAGCGGAGCCACTTGTAAGCCTTATAAATTTTTCGTTCAACCGACTCTATGTCAGAGGTTGGCGATGCTCGGCTCGGCTGAATCTCCAGGGTGGAAGTGCCCCGCTCAGGGGAGGACGTCGGGGAGGAGGAGAGGTCATCCACTTTGATCTGGGGGTAATCGTAGTTGTCTTCTCCAATGTAGGTGTTGGCGGGCTTGCTCGCAGGGGTGGGCCTCTCTTCCCGGGGTGTCTTCTGTCGGCGCCGCATGGCGTTCCGCTGCCGCGTGGAGGTTCGGCGCTCGTTCAGCTCCTCCTGGTCCTCAGAGCTGCTGGAGCTGCTGGAGCTGCTGGACTCGTCTTCAGGGCTGGGAGACCGCGGCCGGGGGAAGAGATCTGTGTCCAGCTCAACCTCGCAGGCGTTCTCCTCAGAGTCGGACTCGTTGGAGAGTGCCAAGAGGCGTTTGTCCTGGTAGCGCCGCAGGGCAGACAGGCGCTGCTGGCGAGAGGCTGCGTCCTCGCACGTGGGCGGCGGTGGAGGCGAGGCCACCGCGTTGGTGGTGGTGACCCGCAGGGGCCCCAGATGGAAGGCGCTGTCGGCATTCTCGTCCACCGTGGGTGGAGGGGAACGGGGCAGCGAGGCTGAGGACTCTGAGTCAGTGTAGCCTGAGCGTTCGCTGACCCCAGCGTGCAGCTGGAGTATAGTGCTCTCACTGAGGTCGCTGTCGGAGTCAGAGCTCCAGCCCTCGATCTCTCGGCGCACCAACGAGTCAAAGAAGGCCATCATCCGGGGGTCTTCCTGCACGGACTGGTTGGCATAGTCGTGTGACAGGCCACTCCCGCTGTTCAGCACAAGGCTGATGTATTCTTCGTGGGTATAGAGGCAGCGGGAATCATCCTCAATCCGTCCGTCTAGGTCTCCTGTACATCCTGGCTGCTTGTATGGGCTCCAGATCTGCACAGAAGGCAAAAACAAAACCAAGGCCTGATTGGGAGGTACTCTAAAGCTGGTAGTGATAAAGAACACTAAGGCAGAGTTTCTCCGGACCCTCCCCTGCCATTTAGCCAGGATTTGCTAGCCAGTTTTAAAAATTTATTCTTTACCAGACTGGATTATGTGGGCCACACATGAAAACCCAGGCTTCTAGAGTCAGATGTTGGAAAAAGCATTGTCTAGGACACGGCATCAGCCTAGTGTTGGGAAAGCGAAGTCCCGTCTCTAAGCGCAGCACAGTGACACGCCATCTACCCTACAGCGCCCCCTCTCCTTTAGCTTCCTGTGTTAGTAGCGTGGAAATTACAACAACCCCCTTCATAATCTTGAAGGGCAGGGGAAGACTTGAAGATTGGCCAACGTGCTCAAAACTCTCAGAAGACTGAAGCTGTGCACAGGGAGGTGCCACTTTTCCAAAGTGGAAACAGACCCAGCAGTCAGTCCTCCGTGGTAGTTAGTATTTCAGCCTATAACTCCACTTCTCCCCAACTGCAACATTTCTATTTTTAACTAATGGGAATTGCTTGTGGAGCTTGATAAGAATAGCCAACTGCCTACACTGCAGTTCCCTCTTGGACATGCAGGCATCAGTTACCCAGGAAACTGGGTTCTCTTAACCAGGTTGCTGCTGGCCTGTTCCCCAACTCTTCTGTTAGCTACAGGAATGGGTAGGACATACACCCCAAGACTGGAGCCCCACCCTTTAACAGCCTCCACTCTATCACCAGAGATACAGGCTGACAACCAGAGGATCTAGGCAGAGCTAGGTAGGACTCAAACTCAGGTGTGCCTGACTGCAAAGGCCCAACTTTACAAGTGGAATAAGTTATGCAAAAATCCAGTTCAAGGTAATTAAGCTGTCACTGCAAATGAGAATGCTTAGCTTCACCTGACTGCCAGACTGGTCCATGGAGCAGCTCACAGAAGCTCAGTTACATCAGCCGGTAGCCATGGCAACTCAGATGAAATTCCAGGCGATTTTCTTGCCTGACAGGCTGGTGTCTATCTTTAGGCACCCAACCCAGAAAACAGGGCTCTTCATTCTCTAACCTGGATCAAGACAATGCCTTTGCTTCCCCAAAGCTATCCAAGGACAAATTTACCTCCTTATGAGCACTTTCCTGAGGCCCAACCCTTCCCATGCAAACTTGTAACTTCTGGGAGGCAGAATCTCTTTGGAGGATCCCCAGTTCAAAAGGGGCTAGAAAAACCTAAATTAGCTCTTTTCACCAATTCTTACTTTAGATTTATTCTTCTTTTGACTTTGTTCCCTGCCCACAACTCCTCAGGCGTTCTCCCGTCTCCATCTTCATTATGTGACCCAGGGGAGGTTTTAAGTAGTGGTTCTCACAACCCAAAGTGCGCAAGAATCACCTGAAGAGTCATAACAGTGTTGACTCCTGAGTCCCCCCTTAGAGATTCTGATTCACTACATCACCACTGGGTACCAGGGCTCTGCATTTTTAACAAGGAGAGACCAACATTTAAGAAACACTAGTATACGGTTAGAAAATAGTGGAGGGGCACATGTGTGGCTCAGTCTGTTAAGCATCTGACTCTTGATTTCAGCTCAGGTCATGATCTCATGGTTCATGAGTTTGAGCTCTACATCGGGCTCTGTTGCTGACAGGGCAGAGCCTACTTGGGATTCTCTCTCCCCCTCTCTCTCTGCGCCACCCCCACTCTCTCTCTCAAAAATAAATATAGAAAAAAAATTTATTTTTGAGAGAGCACAAGTGGGGGGGGCAGAGAGAGGGGGACAGAGGATGCAAAGCAGGCTCCATGCTGACAGCAGCGAGCCTGATGTGGGCTCAAACTCACAAACCGTGAGATCATGACTTGAGCTGAAGTCCGACGCTCAACTGACTGAGCCATGCAGGCACCCCCCAAAAAAAACTTAAAAAAAAAAAAAAGTTAAGTAGCAGAAAATAAAGGATTTTTCTGAGATTCTCAAATTCTTTGTGAGACCCAAAGTTTGGGAAACATTAAGATATGGCCTTCAACAACAGGCTCAAGCTACGAATGACTATCTCTGCAAACAAATGTCCAAGGGAAACGTTTGGTGGCTTAGGAAGGAAACTGGAGGGATTCCAAAGGCAAAGTCCTTAGGACTTTTTGGGGCCTCATTCTATATTCTGGGCCAGATCTCTTACTTTCTCAGTTTAAAAATGGTAAAATGTTACTAACCATGTTATCTAATATAAAGATGAATCTGTATGTGCATCACAGAAACACAGAATTTGTTAACAGAAGTACAAAATATTGAAGGTGGGATGCTGGTCCAACTATCCAACAAACTAGTTTCTAGGTTCTTTCTGATCTATTACCCAGCCTATTTCTTCCTTCAGGAATGAAAATCATTAACACTGAAAGTCAGCTTTTATTTGGGCTCTGGAATGTATTAAGCTGAGGTAGACTTTCATTCCTGAAGCTTAGAGTAATGGAACAAACCACTGGATCAGGAGACAGGAGACTTGAGTGTGGGTTCCCACTCAATTCCTAGTTAGCTGGTTGACCTTGGATAAAGCTCAACCCCCTGATCTAAACAGTGAATTAGATGGGTCTTATCCAATCCTAGGATTCAGAGCAAAACAAAACCATCATGCCAGACAGCCAGTTTTCAGTCCTCAAGGGACTTGTAGCACAGAGCTGCTGGGGCCGACAGAAGGGGTAGGAACCCCAGCTCTGTGGCCTCACATAGCCCTGGGCAAATGACTTCACTCTCAAAAGCCTCTTTTCTCATCTGTAGAAATGAAAATGACGAAATGACATAACCTATACCACAGCACAACAAAACATGGTGCTTTCTCTTTCACTTGGCAGCTGAACACCTTAACTAGAAAGTCTCAGACCCATCCTCAGAGAGACTTTTGAACATCAGAAGGACTGACCGTCGCTATTATCTTAGTCCTCATCCTTAAAATGTCAGTTTCAAATATTTGTGAAAGTGGTTATTTCTTTCCACTGAAACAACTCAGAAGTAAAGCAACAAAAACACAACTTCCTTTAAAATTTTTTTTTAATCTTTATTTTTGAGAGTGAGAGAGAGACAGAGCATGAGCAGGGGAGGGGCAGAGACAGAGAGGGAGACACAGAATCTGAAGCAGGCTCCAGGCTCTGAGCTGTCAACACAGAGCTCGATGTGGGGCTCAAACTGAAGGACCACGAGATCATGACCTGAGCTGAGGTCGGATGCTTAACCGACTAAGCCACCCAGGTGCCCCCAAAACACAACTTCCTGTTGCTAACATGTTAAATGTGGCTAGATATGCCTCCTCTAGGGGCAAGGTTCATGAGAAAAGGAGGGATGAGCAGGTTCCTTTCCAAGCCCAGTGAAAAGTTTAGTTCAAGAGACTGCTGAGGGTAGGGCCCTGCAGTGGCTCAGTCCATTAAGCATCTGAGTCTTGATTTCGGCTCAGATCATGATCACACAGTTCATGAATTCAAGCCCCACATCAGGTTCTGTGCTGACAGTGTGGAGCCTGCTTGGGATTCTTTCTCCCCCTCTCTCTCTGCCCTTCCCCTCCTCATTCTCTCTCCCTCAAAATAAATAAACATTAAAAAAAAAAGGCTGCTGAGGAAAAAGATGCAGTTCAATTCTTATTTAAACATCATCAAAATGGAAAGCAATTAAGTAGCAAGTGTTCTGATCTACATAGGTGACCATGACAAGCTTGATGTAGCAGCTCTAAGCCTTCTTCTCTTTGTGATACTGTACTAAATTAAGAAATTTGTCAGGGGTGCCCAGGTGGCTCAGTCAGTTAAGCGTCCGACTTCGGCTCAGATCAGGATCTCATGGTTCATTGGTTCGAGCCCCATGTTAGGCTCTGTGCTGATAGCTCAGAGCCTGGAGCTTGCTTCGGATTCTGTGTCTCCCTCTCTTTTTGCCTCTCTCCTGCTCATGCTTGGTCTCTCTCTCTCTCAAAAACAAATAATAAACATTAAAAAAATTAAAAAAAAGAAATTTGTCCATCTACCAAGAAAATCTATACAGACAGAGAGCTAAAATTGCTACTCAAGGGTTCTCCACACTCTCTAATCTGGCTTCCAAGACCTTCTGGGCCCATCTCTCGCTAGCCTTCCTGCCTTATATCTTAGATCTGTCATCTTGTGCACTTCATTTTGGCCAAACATGATCATTTTCTGAACAGGTCCTACACTTCACTGTTTCTGAGTATTATTTCTTAGTATAATGCCTGGAACACTGTAAGTGATCAATAAATATTTACTGATTCAATGAAATAATTAACTACCCATTCCCTCTACTTAGAATGTTCCTGGTATCTTATTCTTCTTCCTTTTACAGTCTTTATTCTTCAAAATCTAGTTCAAATATTGCCTGCCTGAGGTTACCACAGACGGGAAAACTCTCTTTCCCCCAGAGCATTTTGTTTATATCTCTTATGTAGATATTGCATTTTTTCATTATCTTTACTTCTTGTCTCTCCTACTGGGTCATCAATTCCTGGGGGACCTGCGTTACCTTTTTTTTTCCTTTATGTTCCCCCATAGGCCCTAGCACAAATGGCATACACAGGTATATCATAAATGTCACAAGTATCATAATTGAATAAATGAATACTGGTCTTTGAGGGAAAAAAATGTCAGCATTTGTCCTATCTTGCCCCTCTGTGTTTAAATACAAAACAAACCCCCTCATTTGCTCAGTGTGGACATTCAGGGAATTAGAAAACTGTTATGGGTGAGAAGAGGTTGGCCCTGACAGCAGGGATTCTACTCTGAGTTAAAAAGGCAGCAGTAAAGGACAAGGGAGAAGGTGAAGTGGAAAAAAGAGCTCAGACAGGGCTAAAACATTATGCTCTTGGGGCCATTGGTCCTCTCAGAAATAGCAAGCAGGAAAGTGACACTTATTAAAATAGTCAGAAATTGTCAGGCACAGGTAATTCACAAGGCACTCCTGGATGGCAAGTCACTGTTAGCATCCTTACTTGACAGATGGGAAACAGACTCAAATAACTGTTCAAGGGCACCAGTTGTGTTGACTTAAGGTTTCAAATGGCTAATCAGGCCTCTTGGTAGGGCAGCATTCAGACCCCATGGGAACCTGGAAGCAGTGAGTTCCATAGTTAAGTCTGGATAACCTCCCAGAGAAAACATTTTCTTCTCTTTCTCCTCTGAGAACTTGGCTAGTTTCCAAACATGACCTTTAGGGTAAGGCCTCCAGTTGACTAAACAATAAATGGGGAGACTAAGTACAGAAGCATCCCAGAGTACATAGCCAAACAGGAATCTCTCTTCTAAAGGAGATGTCCAAGCTGGGCTCTGAGAAAGAGAATGACGTCACCAGGCCGAGAGAGGACATGCTACTGTGCCAACCCATTAGTCATCGGCCAAAGGAGAAGAGAAAGCAATTCAAGGGACAGAGCCAACTCCACAACTGCTCAGTGAAGGACTCTTAAGATGACCACCTCTAGCAGGGGCCTCTGGCTGCCTGCGGCCTTCCACCAGCATGGGAGTGTGACAGGACATTGGGAAGAACAAGAAACAGGGCTCTATCCTAACTACCGCTAATCAGCTGTGTAATTAACCCCAGATGGGTAGTTTATCATTTAAATCTCATCATCTATAAAAAGAAAAAGTCCATAAAAATGATCCAGAAGTCCTGCTCCAGGTCTGTGGAAAAATATGTGCAATCATGAAAGTCAGTCCTGATCCATAGGACCAACAAAACTTAAATAAAGGAAGTTGGATTAAGGATAAATAAAAATACGACCCATACTCCAACATTACATTTCTGACAACTTCCCTTGGTCAGATATAACTTGAATAGTTAAAGAAAAAGAAAAAGAAAAGGAAAGGGAAAAAGAGAGGGAGGGAGGGAGGAAAAAAGGAAGGAAGGAGGAAAGAAGAGAAGAAAATAAAAACTGGTTTTCAATGTCATCTTAGGATAAAATATGAGGAGTTTTATCTTTTGGGGGATTATCATCCATCCTTACTTAAAAATCAAGTTATCAATGAATCCTGAAGAATTTATCATTTGCCCCAAACCTTCATTTTCTCCGGTGTGGAAAAGGGTTACTAACTACTGGAATGTGAGTGATGTCCTTCTGTGGACACAGGCCAGGCTTGGTCTCTTGGTTGCAGGTTCCAAATACATTCCTTGGCTGGGTTCAGTTCATTGAGTCGATGTGCAACTAATGCAAGTGTTTAGCTTCAATCACAACCACATGCAGTGGTTTTTGATATGTTCTGAGACAATTTAGCTATGCTTCTGGCAGTCAGTTAGTTATGTCTGTGCCATATTAGCATAGCAATTAATGCAAAGTGCACCCGAGTAACTGAAGGGACGGTGGCTTCCAGATGAGGTTTGGAAAACAGAACTCATCAGACTCCAGATCAAAAGCTATCGGCAATGTAGTGGCATACAAATGGCATCTAGTTTCAAAGCCTGGTGACTATTTTTAAAAGAGGTCCTGAAAGGAGGGTTTTAAACCACTCTTTTTAATATCAGTTTTTCAGTATTTTGTAGCATGTGAAAATAATCGAGAGGTTTTTAAAAGTAATCTGTGTCCAATGTGGGGCTTGAACTCACAACCCCAAGATCAAAAGTCGTATGCTCTACTGACTGAGCCAGCCAAGTGTCCCAAAATAATTGAGAATTTTGATAGACCTTTAGTATGTTTAGATATGAGGTCCTATATATATTGTTCTAGTTTCTTCCCATTATGAATTATAATAATTTGTTTAAAACAGTTAGAAGGGAAAGATGCCTCACCTTGATAATCTTTTCTACGCCAGAAGAGCAGATCATGTAGGTGTGAGGGTTAAATCGGACCTGGTTAACAATAGACCGATGCCCTTTCAGCACCATGAAGGCTCCGTTGACCACCCTACCAATGCCACCTGGGAAGACAGAAGGAAACAAAAATCAAATGATGAAATGGAGCAAAGTAAAGAGGTTCCAGTAATGGCAGACAAACAGTTCTGAACTGGAGCCAAGATTTTTTATTAACTATGCCATCAGCAGAATGCTTAATCTTACAGATAAAGTTGCTATGGAAAGAGGGAAGATGAAATATTCTCTCAGCATATGTGCTCTTACCAAGAGCCTTTATTTAGCCTGTAAGCATTGCCCACGCCCACCCCCTGCAATTCCATTGTCAATGAAGCCACAGGCACTTAAAACATTTCTCAAGTTTTTGATCCCCAAGATAGAACCCAAGTGTTACCTTAGAAAAGGCCAGTCATGAGCAAAATGAGACTGAACTACTTGGGAACAGTTAGGCAGCTGAGCCAGGGACATGCAGAACCAGAAGCATATAATTACTTAAATGCACAGAAAAATCTCTCATCTACTTGCCCTCAATTTCTATGATGAAGGTAGCAAACAAAACAAACATATGAAAACCACGGAGAAAATAATGGAAAAAATCCTTTTATTACCCTGATAATGGGGAGAGTTAGGGATAAAGAAAGGAGATCTGGGCCACTTCCATAATAGGAAGGGCCCAGGTACTAAGAATGTGAATTAGAGCAAGGGCCTTAAAACCGTCACATATGGATTAAAATCAAGAGGCCACTAATAGAAAGCTGTATTTTAAGGACCGTCCTGTAGGCTTTCTTCTTCAGTGACTGAGAAAAGCACCAGAGGCCTGGAACATATAACACAGATGAAGATGTCATCATTTATACACTTGAAATAATCTCAAAGGTTCAACTTCACTGGTAAGGGCATCACACACAACATACACATCCATGTTCTAAACAAGGTCGCTTCTGAGCAACAACAGCTTAGTACACATAAGCCAACCTGTGTCCCCAGCCAACTGGCAAAATGTGATGCGTTCAGACACAAACAAATAAGTGTCTGTTTATCTAAGCAATGAATACCATCGTAGCCCCTACCAGGAGCTTGGCACCACTAGGGCACAAAGTATCAATCAGTAGGCAGTCTTGGCTTCACATACTTCCACCCCACTCCCAACTCCACCTTGTTTAAACATTCATTCCAGACATTTCTCATCTCAGTGTCCTAGAGGGACAATGACTAGGAACAATATCCCTTCTCCAGACATAATCTGGTTCTGGAGAAGGTGTCTTCTTCTGCTTTTGGCCTCCTGACACAATTCCTCTTGTGACTCATGGAAGATATCCCTCTTTATTGCCATGTACATATGTATCTTTTTTATGACAGTGAGAGTTTTCAGACTGCATTGATCTGTTCCTTGGTAGTGCCCACTTAACTAGCACTAGGTGCTTATTCTACTTGGTAAGTGACAAAAACATCCTTTGCCTAATTTTCCCACCATAGTTGACATTATTAATGTTTGAATTATCCAGGATGTATAATATACTTAAAGTTATCCATATCTCAACCCAACATCATCAAGTTTGCTAATAAACCTTGGAGAGTGACTAGACCATAGAATAAATGTGTTTTCATGGATCAGGAAAGGTTAAGCACTAAAGTAGGCTGCCATGATGGGAATCCCTAGGCAGCCTGAGTGTACTGGGTTCCTAGAGTGGAGTGGGAGGAGGGGAAGGTAACTTGAGCCTAATCAAAATAAAAATAAACTTGAGAAAATTAAGGACAAGAGATCCATGGGAATCTAAACCAGTCGTCTCAACAAAGGGATCTTACCACCCCCCAAAGATTTCCCTTGGATTTTTTTTTCTTAATATAAGGTTGATTCAAAAAGTAGCATTCCCATTCATGGTTTTCTTCTGAATTCTACCCATACCTGTGCTGGGGTAGTCACTTAGCAAAGAATCTTTGGGTTAAACCTAGTACTGATCTCTTATTTAATCCTACTGCCTCCAAGAAAAGTAATTTAAATGACTCAGAGAATGTGAGTGATTTCTTCCTAACCATACAGCTAGTAAATGGCAGAGTCAGGATATGAACCAGAGCCTGTTTGGCTGTAACACCCAATATCCTTTCCACTGTAACAGTGGCCTTTAAGAGATGAAAGGATTTGAATAGGGATGGAGTCTGAAGCTCATAAAATCTTTCTAAATCTTTCTGGCAGTTATCATATGGGTTGGTTTTTTTTTTTTTATAAGTCATCAACTTAAGAAAGGGGAAGGGGTAGACTCTATCCAATGGCATCCTGAGTACAAGCTCCATAGTATCACCACAAGACATTACCAACACTGAATAGTTCACGAAAAGTAGAACTGGCTCTCTTGAGTACCTAGAACTGGGGGCGCAATGCCTGAACCAAAAAGTACCTGCTTAGTAAGCACTTGTTGAATGGACAGTGTTTCAGGAGAGGGCAATTCTAGAATAAATACCACCAAAGGAGGACAGATAGAGCATCTCATGTCTTAAAGAATCAACTACCACAGAACTAAATTTTATCAACCAAACTGATCTTAATCTGTTAAAGGTTATTTGGAATACAATTACAGTAACTTTTGGACTTGCAGAATAAGTGAAAGGGTACCCACATCTGTAAATTGAGACCATGGGAAAACTTTCTATTGCTCTTCCATGCTATGTGACCTCATCTGATTTCTCTTCTTGGCAGCAATTTTTTTTAAGTTTATTTATTTATTTTGAGAGAAACACATATATCGCAAGTAGGGGAAGGGCAGAGAGACAGGCAGAAAGAGAATCCCAAGCAGGCTCCACACTCCTGACATGGGGGCTCAAACTCACAAAACTGTAAGATCCTGACCTGAGCTGAAACCAAGAGTCAGATGCTTAACCGACTGAGCCACCCAGGCACACCAGCAATTTTAATACAGATCTTCTCTCCTTCTTCCCACCCAAACTGATACCTAGGAAATCTGAAAAAGAGGAAATCCATAGAACCAAGAGACTGATGGTAAAAACAGATACAGGAAGAATTATGGCTGCCATGTGTTTAAGGTATCCAAGGCTGTGTACACAAAATCAGAAAAATGAATGGGTTTCAGGGAGGTTCTCGATAGTCCTCCTGGTTTCCAGGTTTGAATGATTGAATATAGCTGATGGTGTATAGTTAGATACAATGATTTTTAGAGAATAAATTTTTATCAGTCCTGGAGATATGTATAAATAAGATTTCTTCATTCTGAAATGGCTAAGGTCAAGATGCTACTATCAGTAAAAACTTGGGGTCTCCCCTCTCCATTACCTAGCCAGACCATGCCTGTCAATAGCAGGATCAAGTTGGCAGGAGTCAGGCAGGGAATATTTTTTTCTAAGAACTACATAATCTACACACTCTTCCTTCAGGATCATTTCTAAGACTGTGGTGATGGGACTGGTGAGGGTCAACCTCACCCCATGAGCTGAGTCAAGACCTAATCACTAATAATGGATACCAATGAAAAAGCACATACCTGGGAAGAGCCACCTTACTCATTTTTGAGCTGTCATTTGTTTATACACTTCTGTACAAACCAACGATCATTGTGCTGGGCCATCTGCTCTGTCTGGCCCAACCAAACATGTTGGCATCATTTTGTAGGTTTTTTTTTTGTTTTTTTTTTTTTAAAGTCAAGGCCAAAGTTGCTATATCTCCATCTTTCCTTTGGTTCAGAAGGGATGCCAGGGAGGTGAAAAAGGCTATAAATAGGCTTTACCTATTTTACTGCAAGAGTTTAGAAAAGAAAAGGAGTGGGCCTCTCATAAGATTCCAGTATCAGTAACTGACTATCTTAGCAAGATTCCAAGAAACACAAGGGACTCAGAGAAAATACCTTACTTAGAACCCTGATAAAGACCTTTCTAAAATGCCAAGACCAGTGTCCCTCCAGAGAAGACAAGGCGCTAAGTGTATAGGCCCTCATTCCCCCTTCCTTACCTATGCTCCTCTTCCTACAACATTCAGCCAGAGATTTGTCCTCTTAGGACTTTCAAGGGTCAGGACAACATTCCCATTTCTTGCCAACTTCAGTTACTTCTGTTTGTCAATTTTATTTGTTTCAACAAAATCCTCTAAGAATGACTATGCTTTCAACTCAAAAGGTAAAAGCAACCTGGTCAAGATTTCTTGATGATTTAGTCTAACAGCAATTTATCAATCACATTGGGAAGAGGTCTTCAGTGGCACTTGGGGCTATAGAACAGGACACTTAAGTATTTTGTAATGAAATAAATCCCAAATCAACCTGGATAAAATACCAGTATTAATTTTCTTGTCAGAGTTTTTGGATTTTTTTCCCCCTTCTATTAATTACTGGGTAGGACAAACACTTTTGTGAGAATGGGAAGGAGAAACAATGGGTAACACTGAGATTAGGGACGGTGAAGTGTGAAAGTGGTAGTGAGGAACCAGGAACAAAGACCAGATGACTGTAAGGGGCTGATGGAAGATAAGAAATTAAGATGGCAGGAGATAAATTTGCATTTCCAAGCAATAGAGTATTGACCCCCATGAACACAGTAAATATCCTTGATCTTCCAAGATTTATGCTGACATATCCAACACAGTAATAAGAGGATTGGACAGATAAGGGCTCAACAGGGGCTCCTGGGTGGCTCAGTTGGTTAAGCTTCCGACTTCAGCTCAGGTCATGATCTCACGGTTCGTGGGTTTGAGCCCTGTGTCAGGCTCTGTGCTGACAGCTCAGAGCCTGGAGCCTGCTTCAGATTCTGTGTTTCCCTCTTTCTCTGCCCCTCCCCCACTTGCACTCTGTCTCTCAAAAATAAATAAAACGTTAAAAAAAAAAAGGACTTAACAAATGGTTAAATTGAAACTAGTGGAGAATATTGTTTGCTTAAAAAAATTTTTTAGGTTTATTTATTTATTTTGAGAGAGAGCAAAAAAACACAGGCAGAGGAGGGGCAGAGAGAGAGAATAGGTTAAGCATCTGACTTCAGCTCAGGTCATGATCTCACAGTTCGTGAGTTTGAACCCTGCATGGGGCTCTGTGCTGACAGCTCAGAACCTGGATCCTGCTTTGAATCTGGT